TTTCAGGGCAGAGATTAATAAGTGAAAGTATTCTAAGTCAATCTGGAAAATACTGAACCCAGGCAAACTGAGATGAGGGAACAGCATCTCACAGAATCACAGAACGGGTACGGTTGGAAGGAGCCACTGGAGGCCATCAGAGGACGCAACCCACCAAGCTTGTGAGTTTCCTAAACGTTGTTTCTAAGACTTTCTAAGGTTTTTCTCAGAGGTGGTTTAGTCCACAGGACCAAACAGCACTGCAGTAGTTACAAATAAAACAGTCACAGAGGGATCCTAGAAAGAGTCTGACTTCACCCTGAGAAAGCAGACTCTCCCACAGTCCAGGAGGAGACTGGTGAGGAGTATGGTCTTCTGACACTACATGGTGTCAGCAGTCTGGTGAAAAAAAAAGAGACCAGAGTCAAGAAAGCATGAAAACCTCAGAAACGGAGTCCTTCATGCCCTGCCCCCTCCAGTGACAGAAACCCAACATTCCCAATGCTACATCATGGCTGCGAGATGACACCACCAAAGTGCAGCAGAGCAGTGGTGATGGGAGCTAAATCTCAGGGAAGAGCTGACAGGAAGAGAGAACAGTCCTGAGATGCTGCAGAAACAAGCATGAAACTTGACAGCTCACAGACGCTTCCAAGGGAGCCTTACTGCAGGCCTTTTACTAAAATGTGGTAAGAGTTGGAGACCAGTAGCTTATACATCACAGATCCTGATAAAAAACTGTGAGAGAAGATGTCATCACTTTTGCAAACTGTTGTCAAAAGCTGGGGCTATGCATATATTAAAGAGAGAGAGAGAGGAGAGGAAAAAAAGAAATCCCCATCACATTTGAGATCTTTGGAGCAGCTCAGCTACAGTAACATGAAGCAACAGCTGTCAAAACAGCAGTCGGAGGGGTTGTCTTTGTGGTTAGATGAGCTGGTTCCACCAAGACAACCTATCCCAGAAAACTTCAGAAGGGAAGAATGTGAGAAGCTAAGGTACCTATCCTGCCTGAGCATCACTGACTTCTCCAGATGAGATTTAATTTCCACACGCAGGTTGCTGAGCCCTTGTGGAAAGTGGTGGACTCTCCCTAAGAAGGAAGAGGAGGATAAAGATGAAATCTGGCATTGCTGCAGAGGAACTTGGGGATGTTGAGGCTGACTGTACAATGGCAGCTGACCACTCTCAGCAGCAACTTGGAAAACAAACTTAAAACCATGCTACAGCTAGGGCCCAGACCCACAGTCACAGCATGAGGCCTCAAAAAATTGAAAATACCCCTTGGCCTACAGCCCCTCATCTGTGACACTCAGGAGGACAGGGTTGGCTCCTGTCACCCCCTTGTCCACAACCCAGCCCCTGGGACTGCCTTCCCTTCAGGATCCTGGAGTGGAAATCCCACCTGGGTGTCAAGTTCTGTCCTCCTGGTGCCTGGGGACACAATTTGGACTGGAGATGTTTCTCTTCATTTAGTGACAGGTACAGTGCTAAAGTGTGAATCTCCCTGTTGTCCATGGGGCTCATGACACAGTCCATTTTTGACTTTTAAGAATATTTTGATAAAAATAAAAAATAAAGTAAAAAAAAAAAAAGGGGGAGGAGGGGGGGAAGAAAAAAGAGCAGAACCAAAGCATGTTTTTCTCCATTACCATAAAGAGGGCTTGTGAATGCATGGTATTAGTATCCCAAAAGCTATTAAACTCCTTAGTGATGGGAAACAGATGGAAAATAAGACAAAAGAATTCACAACTCATGTTAGACTGAATTGAATTCCTTTAATTTCACACAATGAATAACATATGAATAGGATTAACTTTTTTTTTTCTTTTTTTTTTTTTTGTTAAGTGCTCTATACTGTGCTAACCTGATTTGGTAGCGAAAAGACTGAGCTTTGTTTTAGAAAAAAATGTTTAAAAACCAACATCTAAGATCATGAAGGAGCATGACATTAAAGCATGCCAGATGTATCTAAGCCTCAAAGAACATCAAGTCCATATCCATTTTTAAATGTACAAAAATGCTTCATGAATAAAAACTGTTACAAAAAGAACATTTCAAACAATGTACAAGTTTTTTTCTTGCCTCTATATTCAATAAAATACAAATACATTTTTTTGCTCTAAAATATGTTTACATACAATCAAAGTAGAACATGCAAATTACACTTTAAAAAAGGCTTTTAAAAACCACTTATGAATACAAACTAAAAATTAGCCAGCACGACTTATAGAACAATCTTGTGCCCCATTTGTTTGATTTTTTAATTTTTTGAAATACAGTATATACATATTTAACACTTCATGTGCATTTATTATTTAAGAAATAGCTTAAAAAAATAAAGAAAAAGAAAAGTAAAACAAATCAACATGGGATTGAACTGCTTCCCCATGTTGTCCAATTGGCAGCTCTTTTCATGTTTTTATATTTTTTTCTTTTTCTTTTTTTTTCTATGTAGTGTTTTGTACAACCTAGGCAGGCATCTTAAGGAGATCTCCAATATGTGTCTTTTGTTGAAATGTGCTTCTAATTATCTTAGAACTGCTGCACCCCAGTTTTTGGATAATATAGAAAGAAGAGGCATTACAAGGGCAAGATGTTTGTTTTCGCAATTCAGAAAACCATCTCGGTTTTGATTTTTTTTTTTTTCCTTTTTCCTGTTTTTTTTCTGTTGTTCTTTTTACTCTTCAGGATGCTCCTTGAATGGGCTTAAGTGCAGTCCTGAATGAGGGCCTGTGAAAATAAGAATTGGGAAAATCCTTGTGTATGGAACAGCTGGAACAGCAATTTCTGTTCATTCGGTGTATTACTGTAGTGCTCAGAAGCCCCAGTGATGCACCAGTACCTCACTGCACCAGATGCTACCCAAAAAATCACAAGGAGAATATTCTACATGAATGGTCCAAACCATTGCTGACAAATGGAGAGTCATGGGCCATGCTGTAGGATACTCGAGTAGCTGATAAGTATTTTCACTTTCTTTTTTTAAAATTTATTTTTTTAATGTTTTTTTTCTCTTTATTTCTTTGACAGTTATCCAAAAACATACAAGGTGCTTCACCAGTAAAATTTGATATTGAAGGGCTCAAGAAACTGGCAGCATGAAGGTCTTGGAGACACAAGTGGTCATGTTTGTTTTTTTTTCCCTCTCTCCCCGCACACTTATCCCCATTACTGGTTTAACACTTGGTTGAGGAATAAAAGACCCACAGAGAAGATGCAAACCCGTGGCCTCACTTCATATGGCTCAAAGCCACGTGATTTTGTTTTGTGTTTTTCTTGAAGCATGCTCAGATGTGTGCTAGTCTGTGACACAGAAGAGGTGTTTTAAAGGTCTTTTTGGTCTTAGTAAGCAAAAGGGTTTTCACCCAAGTTTTATACAGTTCTTGGAAATGTGTGGAGAGAATTTAGAGAGTTCCTCAGTAAATCTTCCTAGTGGTAGGGAAAAAAAAATCAAAAAGCTCATTACTGGAATATTGTTGGGTAATAAACTGCAGGAGTGGGATTTTAGCCTTAAGCCCTAAAACTAAATCCTTTATGATCTGCATGTAGTACATCGCCTTATAATATTATTCTGTCAGCAAGTTGCTTATCATCTTTATAGACTATGCAACATGCAGAACACAAATTCTGAGTGCCATCTAACAGTATTTTCAGTCTGCTTTGTATGACATTAACAAGCTAATTTTCCTGTCAGCCACAGGACCGGCTGCGCGAATGTGTTTTGTGGACAAACAGTCAAGGCTGTACTGCAGCACAACACTCTACAGGCACCTTCTTGCCATGACAAACCAACCTTGGGTGCCTGGACAGAGCCCATTCCACGCTGACAGCTTGCAGTTACCAAGTCTTGAACTCTACCCTTAGTTTCTCTAGGACAAAAGGGACTTCTTCATGTTTTTCCTCAATGAAGGGTCTATGGGGCTGTACTCTCCGAGTGGATGCTCTCCTTAAACACTGTGTCTCTAGCAGCATTTTGGATAGCACTTTTTGGAAAGATAAGAGCATTTTTTTTTTCCCAAAGCTCAGGAGCATGGGAGGCAGCAGCCACTCAATCATCCTTCCCTGAGGGTGTTGTATCCCAGCGCATCCAAAAAGGTCCAGCCCAAATCCAGCACTTGTTGGCACTCTGACCCCTCTTGAAGCCACAATGGGTGCTCAGTGACAAAATCTGTTCCCTCAAGCCTTTTTTCCACTCACCACACATTGAAATGTCCTTCAGTGCTAATAAAAATATCACTGGAGATAAAACTAAGGATAAGTTGTTTGGTTTAGTTTCAGCTACCTGGAATACCAAACTTATGGTTTTTTCTATCATTTTAAGTGACACTGTACCTACTTTGAGGTTCTAATGAGATTGGAAAAAAAAAAAAGATTTCTAAATTAACTAAACCTCAATCTGATGCTTTTCAAGGAAGAAGTGAGGAGCTCAATGAGGTTTAAGCATTTTTTTTCCTGCAGGTCTACAGCTTCAGTCAGTAACACTGTGCTAATTCAAGAGAGCTGAAAAGCAAAATTGTTTGTAACAGAACGAGCAACCATCCAATTTATTTCTAAGCTGCATTAATTGGAAAAAAAAAGCACAAATGCGTATGATGCACGATGCAAAACAAAAATTGGAACCAAAATTCTGCGATCCCTCTTATCAGTTTTAAGGAGTTAGGATCTCAAGATTTGTTCCAGTCTTAAAAAAAAAAATAAAAATACATCCCCTGTTCCAGCTCCCCGACGCAATCCTATCCCCAAATGTATTCAGTTTTAATAAGCTAAGGTGCTATCACAGAAGAAAAATCAGTCTCTAAAAAATAACGAGTTGTATGTTTACAGTGTTCCTCTAACACCATAGTCTTGATATGATTTTTGTAAATAAATAACAGAATAGAAACACAATATTTTTTGTGGGGACTTTTTTTGTTGGGTTTGTTGGTTTTTTTCTTTCTTTTTTTTTCTTTTGTATTTTTTTTGTTGTGTGTTTTTCTTTTTGTGTGTTTTTTTTTGGGTTTTTTTTTTTTTTTTTTTAGTGTCGTGCTATATGAAGTTTCCTTGGCAATAAACCAATTCAAGATTTCTCAAGAAAGGGAATAGCAAGTTGGCTTGTGAACATTAAACAATTCCAATCCCCACTCCCTTGCTGTAATCTTCCCTCTCTGTTCTCATTTTAATATCCATCTTCACATGCCAGGTGTTGAGTGTACTGCAGGACGTTAAAAAGAAATGATATAAAGTTGAAAGTACCTATTTCAAATTTCAACAATTAACTTTTTTTTTTTTTTTTAAAGCATTGACACTGCAATGGAACAGCTTCCTGTTCAGTCTTTGTTTTAGCTAAACATTTTAATTGGGCTGTGGAAATGAAGCTTGGGTATTTTACCCAAGTTAAATCAATGGCTAACGGACAACTCGAATGAGAAATGTACAATTTGAACTGACCATTTAAAGAGACGATTTGTCACACACAGTTTGCATCCATGCAGACTGAGAGGTTTATAATTACATTATGTACAAAAAAAAAAAAAAATTATTTTTTTAGTTTATTAAGGCAACCACAACTTGGAGAACGTGTCCAAAGTGGCATTAATACAATTGCAGTGGTGATACCCTTTGAACATTTTTATTTCTATTTTCAGATAAGAACACTTATTCCTTTTAATTTTTAAGAAATAATTGCCAAGAAAGGACCTATTATTGATAGGGTCTGTTCTATAGTTTTTTAAAACAATCTACTTTATCTATTTTCTTTAAAAGATAATATCAAGTCATTGCTAAACAATGCAAATTATTCGGATCCTGGGTTTCCCTTCAATTTCACTGGGAATTGCAGGTGGTAAAAATGGGTAGGTTTGGGCCCTGTCTTTTTAGTCAATTTTTAAGTTCTTTTTTTTTTTTCTTTTATGTTTTTATATTATTTTTTTGGTGATTTTGTCCATGTTTACTATAACTATATTCCCCAGAAGTGTCTTGCTGTTCTCTACTCATATGTACCGAGCATCAAAACAACTTGGCTGATGGATGACCCCTTTTTCACATGCCATTGCCAAGTTGCTTCATATAAACATGCTATAGTAACTGAATATCCATGTACACCTTATTTTAAATTCTGTGATATTCCGTCGGTCCTTGGGATAGCACTCGGAATGAGTGTGCACGCGTGTAAGGCTCTAATTTTCTATTGCCTATATTGCAGCTAATAACTAGGCAAGTAAATGAGAAAGAGACATATAGTTCTTCATATAGCAGGAGTCAGGCACTTTGGGTTATGCTGTCCCAAAGCCTGGTAGGTATGTAAAACTGGAAAAAAAAATAAAATTCAGACAGATTATAACCCATATCACAGTTGAGAAAATTACACTATTTTTTGTAGGGTTTTTTTTCTTTCTTTCTTTTTTTTTTTTTTTTTTTTTTTTTTTTTTTTTTTTTACAGTGATTTCTGCTATGGTAAAGTTACTCTTAGTTTCACCTGGCCTGCTAAACAGAATCAGAGTAGAGCACGCCGCCCCCAGTGCCAACGTTCAGCTCTCTGCGAGGATGACCTCCCGCCTCCGGGTACGGTACGAGAACAGCAATGCTGAGATTTAGATTAATTTTGGAAACTCTGCAGAGCTTAGATGCTTTTTTACCAGCTTTCACACACATCCCCCTCCCCTTTATCCCCCACCTTTCCCCGCACCCTTTCCCCCTCTTCCCTTGGGGGGCGGGCTTGGGTCAAAGCGATGAAGAGGAAGATGCGCGCCCCGGCTGGCAGAGCTCTCTGCAATGAGTTCTGGTTGCTGGAGGGACGGGTGAGTCTGGTGCTGCCAAAGGGGCCAAACGGACAGCGTGCCTCCCGTCCCTCCGCCCTGGCGTGCTCCGCCACTGGCACCCGACGTCCGACGAGGTGCCCCGGCCTTAGGGAAGGCCTTCACTTTCGCTCCCCCTGCCCTTCCGGTACCGCTTCACTTTCACATCCTCCTCTTCCTCCTGTGGGGACTTGTTTTTTCTTTTCCCAACCCGGGGTGCCCGGGGTAGAGGGAGAGGGAGCGGAGGGGGTGGAGGAGGAAGAGGAGGTGGCAGGGGTGGTGTCTCTCGAGCCATATGTATGACAGCCTCGATGGTGGCCATGATAGTATCTTGAGTGGCTGCTTGCTCCAATATCAAAGGATTGAGTGTTGGTCTCTGACCTCTTTTGCTGGGAAGGTCAATGCATTTTTCCAGAACGGGCATTTGGTCTCTGGAGTCTTCGTCGAAGGAAAGAGGTTGCTTCCGAGGACGACCCCTCCGCTTCTTGACGAAGTTATTGCCTGTCTTTGATTGTCTCTGCAGCCGCTTGGCTTTCAGGATCTTGTTCACATGATCCAGGTTCTTCTTCGTGGACAGGATCTTGGTGTAGTTGCACATCTTGCGCACCTCGCACTGGATTGCTTCGATTTCACGGCGCTTGAACCTTTTCTTCAGTGGTGAGCTGGCTGTTGGGAGACAAGGAGAGAAACAGGGGTAGGTCAAGCAACAGTGATTAGAAACTCTTCTTTGAATCCTTTGAGGTTCATGAAGAGTAGACAAAAACATAACTGATATTTAGCAGTCTTCCCTCTTCTAAAGAACCAAACCTTTTCTACCGCAATGTTTTACCATGGGTAAACATTTGCTTCATTCTCATTTCTAAACCTCTAATTGGAGTGAAGGGAGCTTAGCATAGCTGGACCATCTCAACTATTAAAACTTTCTATATCCTAAAGATATAATCCCGATGTCTTCATCCCGACCTTTAATTCTTGTCATGAATGTCGGTTAGTATAAAAAGTGTTTGTTACTGAAACTAGTGGGCAGAGAAAAGCTGTGTGGGTCACTTAATCTGTGGTAAATTCATTACTTCTGCCTGGGTTTCTGTACTATCATCTCTGCAGATACAAGCTGAAACTACTCAGTCATATAATTGACTTTAATGGCCCCCAAAGTAAGCTTACTCCTGGTTCAGATCACTTACTTTAGATCTGAATGAAGTCCAAAGTAGTTAAGTCTCTTGCCAAGGTCATGTTGTGAGTCATTGTTAGAGCTGGAAAGAGTACCCAGCATTTCTTGGCTCCTGGTCCTTTGCTTAGGACACGAGTCCTTGCTTGTTTTGCCTAAATTGTCTCATTGTCCTTTACTGAACATGGCATCTGTTCAGAGTTCAGGATTTGCACACAGATTAGAAGTAACTACCCCTTTGTGAGGGAAACAGAATGTATTAATTCTGCTTTTGCAATAACTGGTGCTCCCTTTCACTCCCAATATATCCGTTCTGCACTGCTGGAAAAGAAATGTCGGCGCTCAGGATTTCTTTTTGGTGAAGAATAAAACATCCCATTAAATTAAACTCAGCCCACATCTACTTGCAAACTTAATTTACACCTGACTGTCAAGCAGTCATTTGGGTTTGAAATCCTTGAAATTTCCTGAGCAGCCAAGATTTCGAGAGAGGTTCATTTGGGGGTTATCACTCCCTTCATGGCTAATCTTCTAGCAGTAGTTTAAATAAAGTTGCTATTGTAGTATTTTCTGTAGATAACCAGGAGCTGTCAAGCGGGAGAATCTCCTCTTGCTCTCTTAGGGCTATGACAGATTCAGCATATAAACCTCATTCACTGGCCTCCCCTCTTGGAGAAACATAAATTATTGGCTCTTATACCACCATGTTGCTTGGATTCAGTGAAGAGCTTGCGTAAACAAACCCAAGTTACAATGTAAGAAGTAGGAGTGAGTCATAAACAAAACACAGACATATGCTCTCTTATAAATAAAGACCTGGGATGGCCAACTTCCCAAAGTCTGGTTTTCATTAATTACAAAACAAAATACATTTTCCATATGTAACCCACTCCCCGCACCAAAAAGAAAAACAAAACCCACTTGCAGTCACAGAGGACAAAGAAAAAGAGGAATGCAGTCATTCTGGTACCAAAGGAAAAGAGAAAGGAAATGAAATATCCAAGTTGCTCAGGAGAAGCTAATTAGTTGCACAGAATTCCTCCCAAGTAGGTCACCCCTAAAAACTGTGGATGCAAGGTCCCTAAAGGCAAGTTGCAGTGAGCTATTTCTCAGAAATTTGATCAAAAAAGGTTAAATCCCTGTCATGGAAAATGATAGCTTTCATCTGTCCTCACTGGTGATTGACACGAGGAGTCCCAATATCTTCAGCCTTAAGCATGCAAATCCTTTGAGCCCCTCCCACGTCCTGAGAGTAGCTTCAGGTCAGAAGATCTAAAAAATCAAACATTTGGCACACTCTTCACATTTACTGTCCACCTTTTGCCTTTTACTGCTATAGTTAGGCCATATTCTCAAGTCTTTTTTTTTTCTTCCTAATTCTCATATTTGAGATGCAATTTCCTTTTTTTTTTTTTTTTCCCAGAAAGTAATGCTGATTTTTTTCAGCTGGTGATGAGAAATTTAGCAGAAGGACAGGAACATTTGCAGGTTCATGGGATGATACCAGGAGATTTGGCTTTACTGTCAATTTTTACTGGAAAGAAAGTAAGCCAAAAGACAGGAAACAAATTTGAAATAAAGCATTAGGCAAGTATCTGCAAAGATTTTATGTCTCTACTGAGATTTATCTGTAGCCAGTTGTTTCTGCAGATTAGTGTTACCACCTGATTGTGGTCAGTGGAGACCTGGTGTGTATAGTCGGTAGAGGATGACCTTCATTTCTAAAATGGGAACTCAAAGCAAATCAAGGTGACCATACACACCCTTTTGACATCATGATAGTGGATAAGAACAACACAACACCCCCGTCCATCCTGAAATCCATGGAGTATCTTAGGCACTCAAGAGTTCACTCAGGCTGAGTATCCTTAGTGGAGCCTCTGGTGAGGAGACAATGCCTGACTGGAGAAAAGGTAGGCTTTTGCTTTCTGCCAAATTGCCCTCTCAGTGTCCTCCTTCATGTTTAGATACTTTTTTTTTTTTTGCTCTTATCAACCTTTGCAAACTGACAGTACGTTTCTTTTTGCACTGAAACTAACTTTCTCATTTAGAAAAAAATAATTCTGGGCTGTTCTATGCCAGCTTACTGTGCTAATTTTTTCCTTCGTAAATGCTTTGGGGTGTTTATGACTACTAGTAATGCTTTTGCTTTTCTTCCTAGCAAGCCTCTGAACTTTCAGGCTCTAGAAAGCATTTGAGTTCTGTCACGCTCTGCCAATAGTCAGAATGCATGTACTGAATAAGTAAACACGCTTTCAAGTCAGGCTTTTTAAATGAGATATTAGGAAACTCAACATTATTTTAACTATTAAGTGTAAGGGACATCTGATTCTAGATTTGGTGCAGGGAGACTGTGCGGAAAGAGTCTGATGGGTCTGCAGGGGGAAAATTTGATTAGGTGTGCATATGACAAAATATCAGGGAGATCTGCCAAAGTAAACCACTATTGAAGTGAGAGCCATTAGGTGTTATCAACTCATCTGGAAGTTCTTGGTGAGCAATCTTTGATATAAAACATTTTCCTATATTGCCATGTGATATACTGCTCTGCTGAAAAACAAGGCTAAGTATTAATCTTTTCCATTTTATCCAGACAGACCCTGCCCAACCCTGGACCCTAGTTGGTCTGCATTGGTTTTAGGTTTTGTTTTTCTGGTCGTGCACATATTTTGCTATTTACAAATGGAAATATTGCTGTGGGAGAAAGACTTCTGTCTTGCTCTATTTGGTGGAATTCATTTAGAAGGGGTCGAGGAGGAGATGGGGAACAGTAACTCTGTGTCAGCTTCCCCAGACAAGCAAGAACCAATGTTGGTCTCAAAACACAGCTTTACACATTTAAAATAAGGCACATGGAGGTCCAGTGTTCCTCCCTTCCTCAGGGTACACCTGGGAAGTGAGGGTCAGTCCCAGAATTTGAAAAGGTCACGGGCATGATAGGAAGTCATGCAGGATTCATATGATGCTGCAAAGAGCTTCTGAGGCAAAGAGGAAAATCTCTAGCAAGAATATACATTTCCAAGGGTAGATTGGAAGTGGCTGAAGGACCCGCTCCAGCAGAGTGATGGTGAACAAGGTGAGTCCAGGTAGGTTAGACTCCTTTGGATGTTCTCCACAGGTCCCCTAACTTTATTCTGGATGGTTGTTATGTCTGAAGCTCTAAAATCCTTATTACTACCTGTCATTCTCCATCTCTCTGGAGCTGCCTGAGGCCACTTGCAAGAACATGGCACAAGGAAGACTGTTTGCTCAAAGCTGGGCTCAATTTGTTCACTTGGTTTGAATGGAGGAATTATCTAAGAGCTCCCTATTAATTACAGGAAACCCATAGCACTGTCCTGTTTTTCCATTAACACAGTTTCTTTCAGATTTCAACTAAATTATTTCAACATCTGGGCTACAGATAAACCAACGATTTAATTAGACTTCTGAAAATGGAAAGAATGAACTATGCAGTCAAACATACACTTTCATCTTGAAATGGATCATCAAATATTTGTATGCTTTCATTCTCTGCTGCTTTAAAAATCTGTCCTTAGTTTATATATAGGAAAGTTTTAAAGACAAAACAGATATAAAAATTTGTCTTTAAGGAGGGTACTCTAATGGAACCCTTGTTTTCACTATTTATTCAGGAAATGAGAGGGAAATCAAAATGAGTGTATTGAAACAGTACTTTAAATTGAATGATTATATATGTAATCATTCTGTAAGTCAAATATGATACAAATATGTTTTTTGTGAATGTGGCATCAAAAGTTTGATGAGACTGTGAAACTCCTGAAGGCTGCATGTAAGGTAATGTACTGTGGGTCACCCACTCATTGGAAATCAAGACACAATGAGAGATTAACTTCTCTGTCCATGCCCATAACAAGGTCTGACTTGGCTCAATTTCTGACAGCATAGGGACATCATCTTTCAGATCTGATTCAAAATAGAAGCACAAAATATAAGCTGACAGAAAAGCATGCAATTCTGACTTATTTGTTCTGTATTTAAAAGTACTGTTCAATGCCTTAGACAATTTCATATTTGCAAGACAGAATATTATGCTAAAACTACTGGAGTATGCACCAAAAATCTCATCTGTTCCTTAGTTATTTGCTGTGTCTTTGGTATGTTTGTGTTACAGGGATGGGAACATTCAAATAAATGAGGAAGGAACCCCAGAGTCTTGTTTCAGAGTCCCCTGCTGGACCATACAGGCTACTTGTGTCCTCACTATTGCACGAGTTCGGTGGCATGTGAGTGAAATAGATTTGATGTGCCAAGATACAATCATGGTAAAGAAGTGCTAGAAAAATTACAGCCTGATTTTCACATTAGATATGCACATCTGCAGCTAACTCTGCAATCAGGAAGAGCAGTGCAGTTCCAGAAGAAAGAAGATGGGGATGAAATAGAGGGAATGGAGCGAAACAGCATTACCTGCTTCAGATGTTGCTGCTGATGAAGGTAGGAGAGATAATACTGGACTTGGCATTGCAACACTGTCAACAGCTGCTGGTTTCCTTCTGGTCATCACGTTACAGGCAGAACTTTCCATTTTACCATGAAGTGAAGTCTGGTCTGCTTTTAAGTGGGGACCTGCAATACCTGGGGAAGGAAACAAAATTTGGATGAATATTGGTAAAGTAACATGTCTGGGAAATATCTGAAAAAAGAGTAGTCAGTTGCTGCCCTGACTATGTTGATATATTTCCATATCTCCTTGTATATGTACCTGTAATACAGTCTTGATACTAGCAAGGATCACCATTGTTTTTGATAATTTGCTGTAGGACATGCCATCACAGGTCTCTATAAACAATGGCAAACAAAAAAAAATAAAAATCCACATTGCTACTTTTTCTTCTAAAAAACCTGCATCAACCCTGATGTATGTATAACGACAGACAGATTTCATATCTCTATTTTGTGGGATCGACTGTTTGTCATTCCCTGGGTAGTCTATTCTCCACACATTCTTACATGCTTCTCTTCTATAAACACCTCAGTTAGTGGGTATTTCATCTGAGTAAGGAACCCGCATCAGGAACAACTTCAATATGTAATTCCCTATCTAAAGCACATTACAGTCACTTTTCAGGAATCCCCTCCCCAGTTAAAATTTACCCCTAGAACTCATCAAAGAGAAGGGAGTTAAAAAAGAAAGAGTTCTTTGTCATACATTTTTATATCTAGAGTTTACAATGAAGAATAATAAATGAGCAGTAGAAATACACCAAAGAGGTCAAATATTCCAGAAAAAAAGTTATGCTCTTATGTCTGGTAGATTCCTCCCTTAACAATGTTTTTGAAACTCTCATATTTTGCACTTATTTTGTTTGCCTGTAAACGTGTCAAATTTAAACTGCTGTGATTCACTTTTGAAAACCTCTCCCAGTCTCTGTGATGCTGGGCTTCAACACCATAGGACAGCTATGGGATTATCTCAAAAATAATCTTTCATAAATTCCTTTCCTTTTCAAATCTCTACCTGCACGTGTCCCTCAGATAAAATGCATCAGATTTTAGCAACTAAATTACACAGAGATTTAAAAAAATCATGGAGCAGCTAAGGTTGGAAGGCTCCCCTTGAGACCATCTAGTCCACTCCACCCTGCTCAAGCAGGGTCAGCCAGAGCACGTTACCGTGACCATGTTTGGTCAGCCTAGAATATCTCCAAGGAGAATCCACAGCCTCTCTGTACAACCTGCTCATCCTCTCAGTAAAATTTTATTGTTCAGACATAACCTGTGTTTCTGTTTCTGCCCATTGCCTCTTGTCCTGTTCCTGTGCCCCACTGAGAAGTCTGGATCTATCTTCCCTGCTCTTTCCCATCAGATATTTGCATACATGGATAAGATCCCCCTGAATATCCCAGCTCTCTGAGGCTTTCCTCATAAGAGAGGTGCCCTAGATCCTTAATCTCTGTGGCCTTTTGTTGGACTCTCTTCCGTATGTCCACGTTCCTCTGGTATATCAATCACTCCTCTCGGTTTTGAACTTCTCCAGGTTCATTGAGGGTGTTTTTTACCCCAGCATCCTGGTCATTAATTAACATGTTAAATACTTGTAGTCCTTATGTAGAACCCTGGGGTGCAACTCTAGTGACTGGTCTCTAGATGTGTTACTCATCACACCCTTTGAGCCCAGCCAGTTTTCAGTCCATCACAGTGTACATTTACCCAGTCTGTATTTCACGATTTTGTCTATGAGAAGCTAATAGAACACATTGCCAAAACTCTTGCTAAAGTCAAGATAAGAAACACCATATTGGTGAGGCATGATTTCCCCTTCATAGATTTTGGATAACTACTCCTGATCACCTTCTTTTCCTTCATATGTTTGGAAATGCTCTCCAGGAATACTTACTCCACCAAACTCTCGGGGATTGAGATGAGACTGACCATCCTATTGGTCTCTGCCTCTTTTTTCGATGCCCTTGATGGGATGACAATTACTCTCTTCTACTCCCCAGGGTCCTTTCCTGATCATCACAACCAGGACTGGCCTCACAGTGATGCCAACCCAATCCCTCAGCACTTTGGATGCATCCCACCAGATCCCATGAACTTATGCATGTCCAGTTTGTTTAACTGTTCCCTAATCAGATCTTCCTCCACCAAGAATAAGTTTCCTTTCCTCACCTGTCTCAGGGGCATGTGACTCTCAAAGGACAGTCTTACCAGTAGAGATCAAGGCAGATAAGACAACGAACATCTCAGTCTTCTCCTGGTCTTTTCCCATGAGGGTCCCTGTTTCATTCAGCAAGGGGTGTACATTTTCCCTAGGCTACTTTTTTCTGCTTATGAACCTGTAGGAACATTTCTTGGTGTTCTTCTGCCCCAGATTCAACTCCAGGCAGACTTTGGCTTCCTAAGCCCATCCCTGCATACTTGGTCATGGTAGTTCTCTGGGCCAACCCCTTTTGCTTCTTTTTTGTATCTGACATTGCTCAGGAGCTTTTGGGTCATTCAAGAAAGTCTCTGGACATCTTTGTTTTAATTTGCCACTCTGATCTGTTTTGGTGTGATCCAAGCCCCAGGCCAGCAGCAAACCACCCTGCACAGCAGGTCAGGTCAACACACATGGGCCTTTATCCCCTGTGGCAATGAACCCCCACTGCACCTGGATAGCACCTGGTTGTTTCTCAAAAACTCTCCACAAGTACTCTGACAGCTTCAACCATAGAATTATTTAGTCCCAAATTCCCCAAGCACTGCCAAGGCCACCAGTAACCCATACCCAAAAATGACACATCCACATGGCTTTTAAATGCCTCCAGGGATGAGGACTCCATCACCACCGTGTGCAGCCTGTGCCAGGGCTGGACAACCCTTTCCCTGAAGAAATTTTCCCCAATATCCAATCTAAACCTTCCTTGGAACAACTTGAGGCTGTTTCCTCTTCTCCTATTGCTTGTTCCCTGGGAGCAGAGCCCAATCCCCACCTGGCTCCCCCCTCCTGTCACAGAGTTGCAGAGTCAGAAGGTCCCCCCTGAGCCTCCTCCAGGCTGAGCCCTCCCAGCTCCCTCAGTTGCTCCTGGCGTTTCTTTCCTAAAAGATCAAGAAGATCTCAAAGCAGAGCCAGAAAAACAGCTGCACGAAGCTCTGTGTCTGTTGGGTGTGCTCTGCCACTCCAGATACCAACCAAAAATTCCTTATATATATATATTCCTTCATAGCTGCTTGGAGCTGCTATGAACAGTCTCTACCTTTGTCTCTGGCCCATGAAATGAGAAATATCAGGACATATATGGGTTGTCTCAGAAAACATGGAAGAAATCTCTATCAGATACAGGCACAGAACTGCTCTGGTGAGAGGAGTCTGAAAGACAAGGCTACAGAGTAGGTCAGTTTGGAATAGAACTCCTGATGAACCCATGACCTGATATATCAACTCGTGGACTTAAGGGAGACAAGAGCTCTGAGTGTAGAAATAGCCATGAGTGAGACAATATTACAGGTCATGGCTTTGTGGAAATACACAGAGTCGTCTCTGCCTATTAGACTACACATCCTCCCAGAGCCTCAAACCTGGTATTAAGCATCTCAAATTGTATCCATTAAACTTCAATCTCTCTCTGCTTGGCTTCTCTAGTGCAAATGAGAACAATAATATACCCCTCATCTCAAGAGCAGTCCTGTGAAAATAAAATTATCAACATTCATGAAACATTCATCTATTCATACCAAAGCTTAGAAATGTGGAATAAATGAGACATGATGTCACGCACTGAATAGCAAGAGGAAAATCCAGCTACCAAATAGCTGTTCATTAGGTGAGCACTGTACATGGAATAAAACAGTGTCCCATAGAATAACCGGGATATTTGACTAGGTAATTACACCTATGGGATCTCACCACCGTGGAACTGTGCATATGCAAACCTGAGGTTTCACCAGGTCTTGAGTTTTTGCCTTAATGTTATTTATTCATGAATGTAGTTGGTGCACAAGAAATGGGCGTTTGTGGGTGCATGTATCAATACACATACACATATATGCACGTGCATGTGGTACATAATAATGCTAACAACCTCATAAATTCAACATCTGGCTCTAATTAAACTGAAGGGCCTCTATAAAGAGCCGTATGAAAACATGCAGCTGTAACCTGTTGACCTCTATTGATAAAAAAAAAAAAAAGTCTGTGAAGCTGTGTTTCAACATATCAAGGGACAGTCATTCATTTTTTCAAAGGTAATCCCTCACAAACCACTTATCCTCTCAAATCTCTACCTGCACACAGTGTTTGCATTAGGGACCTTGATTTATGGATTCCCACTCCTTGGATGGAGAGGCCAACTTCCTGTTGCCGTGGTTACTTGGATCTTGGTTCAAGGTTAAACTACTCCCAAATCAAAATCAGTGGCAGGCACAGCATCTAACAGCCAGGTTATTGACTACCCTAGGATGCTTAAAGGTCAAAGACCAAAGTGCTGCTTACTGCCTTTGGGGTGAGTCAATATTTTCAATATTTTTATTCTGTTTCTTCTGAAGAAGTAGTTGCTGCTCAATTACCACCTATCTGGGTTTAGCAAGGTCATACAAATCATTGAGGAAAATCCTCCCCCTACAGAAGAGACACAAATGTAATGAATTACTTCAAAGTCTATATGGCCCAACTGCAGCTCAGCACTGGTGAATCATGGGTTCAGACATCTGTCTTTTGCTTTAGGGGCTTGGATTCTTCAGCCTATATCACTCACCTCACTGAAAAACTCATCTAAATCAAGGAAGAGGAGGAATTTATGGATCTGGAGAAGCCAATAAGGAAGATCCATCAGTTTTCTTTCATGGATACCAAAATGCAGAGGCTCGGAGGCTCACTTGGAAACCCACACAAGTGCAGCAATTTGCTCACAAGGCTTTGATGCACTCTGCAGTGGTGGAAGGTCTATTCCTTGAGTGTATGGACCTGCTGGTGTGGTATCATCACCTTTCATTGGACTTTTTTTTCTCATTTAGATTGCTCTGTTCAGAAGGCCTTATGGAAGAGAAGGCCCTAATTTAACCCATCTATGAATCAGATGAAAACAAATCATTTGCAGCACAATCACAGGGGAGTCAGAGTTTAAAATTCACACACACACATTCATTAATCCAGT